ATACAGTGGGGAAAAAAAGTATTTAGTCAGCCACCAATTGTGCAAGTTCTCCCACTTAAAAAGATGAGAGATGCCTGTAATTTTCATCATAGGTACACGTCAACTATGACAGACAAATTGAGGAAAAAAAATCCAGAAAATCACATCGTAGGATTTTTAATGAATTTATTTGCAAATTATGGTGGAAAATAAGTATTTGGTCACCTACAAACAAGCAAGATTTCTGGCTCTCACAGACCTGTAACTTCTTCTTTAAGAGGCTCCTCTGTCCTCCACTCGTTACCTGTATTAATGGCACCTGTTTGAACTTGTTATCAGTATAAAATACACCTGTCCACAACCTCAAACAGTCACACTCCAAACTCCACTATGGCCAAGACCAAAGAGCTGTCAAAGGACACCAGAAACAAAATTGTAGACCTGCACCAGGCTGGGAAGACTGAATCTGCAATAGGTAAGCAGCTTGGTTTGAAGAAATCAACTGTGGGAGCAATTATTAGGAAATGGAAGACATACAAGACCACTGATAATCTCCCTCGATCTGGGGCTCCACGCAAGATCTCACCCCGTGGGGTCAAAATGATCACAAGAACGGTGAGCAAAAATCCCAGAACCACACGGGGTTTTTAGGAGGGGGCTGAGCACACACCCATGGGGGGCCCCTGTGTTAAGGATCATCATGGCGGAGGTGTTGTTGCCTAGTGAATGACCTGCAGAGAGCTGGGACCAAAGTAACAAAGCCTACCATCAGTAACACACTACGCCGCCAGGGACTCAAATCCTGCAGTGCAAGACGTGTCCCCCTGCTTAAGCCAGTACATGTCCAGGCCCGTCTGAAGTGCATTTGGATGATCCCGAAGAGGATTGGGAGAATGTCATATGGTCAGATGAAACCAAAATATAACTTTTTGGTAAAAACTCAACTCGTCATGTTTGGAGGACAAAGAATGCTGAGTTGCATCCAAAGAACACCATACCTACTGTGAAGCATGGGGGTGGAAACATCATGCTTTGGGGCTGTTTTTCTGCAAAGGGACCAGGACGACTGATCCGTGTAAAGGAAAGAATGAATGGGGCCATGTATCGTGAGATTTTGAGTGAAAACCTCCTTCCATCAGCAAGGGCATTGAAGATGAAACGTGGCTGAGTCTTTCAGCATGACAATGATCCCAAACACACCGCCCGGGCAACAAAGGAGTGGCTTCGTAAGAAGCATTTCAAGGTCCTGGAGTGGCCTAGCCAGTCTCCAGATCTCAACCCCATAGAAAATCTTTGGAGGGAGTTGAAAGTCCGTGTTGCCCAGCGACAGCCTCAAAACATCACTGCTCTAGAGGAGATCTGCATGGAGGAATTGGCCAAAATACCAGAAACAGTGTGTGAAAACCTTGTGAAGACTTACAGAAAACGTTTGACCTGTGTCATTGCCAACAAAGGGTATATAACAAAGTATTGAGAAACTTTTGTTATTGACCAAATACTTATTTTCCACCATCATTTGCCAATAAATTCATTAAAAATCCTACAATGTGATTTTCTGGATTATTTTTTCTCATTTTGTCTGTCATAGTTGACGTGTACCTATGATGAAAATTACAGGCCTCTCTCATCTTTTTAAGTGGGAGAACTTGCACAATTGGTGGCTGACTAAATACTTTTTTTCCCCACTGTACATATTTATATTCCTGACTCTGACATTGTTCATTCTGATATTGCTTGTTCTGATATTTCTGATATTTTTATACGTTTTGGATTATGTGTGTATTGTTATTGTATTGCTAGATATTTCTGCATTGTTGAAGCTAGAAACATAAGCATTTCTCTGCACCTGCGATAACATCTGCAAACCTGTGTACGCAACCAATAAACCTTCATTTGATTTGACTTGGTGGAATCACACATGCAAGATCATTACATTATGAATGTACAGAGCCTTCATACCCCTTGACTTATGCCACATTTTGTTGTGTTACAGCCTGAATTCCAAAATGGATTAAAAATAATAATAATCACCTATCTACACATAATACCCCATAATGACAAAGTGAAAACATGTTTTTAGAAATGCTTGCACATTTATTGAAAATGAAATACAGAAATATGTAATTTACATAAATATTCACACCTCTGAGTCAATACATGTTAGAATCACCTTAGGCAGCAATTACAGCTGTGAGTCTTTCTGGGTAAGTCTCTAAGAGCTTTCCACACCAGGATTGTACAACATTTTGCCATTATTCTTTTCAAAATTCTTCAAGCTCTGTCAAATTGGTTGTTGATCATTACTAGACAACCATATTCAAGTCTTGCCATAGATTTTCAAGCAGATTTAAGTCAAAATTGTAACTCGGCCACTCAGGAACATTCACTGTCTGCTTGGTAAGCAACTCAAGTGTAGATTTGGCCTTGGGTTATTGTCCTGCTGAAAGGTGAATTCATCTCCCAGTGTGTGGTGGAAAGCAGACTGAACCAGATTTCCCTCTAGAATTTTGCCTGTGCTTAGCTCCATTCCGTTTATTTTTTATTCAGAAAAACTCCCCAGTCCTTAAAGATTACAAGCATACCCATGATGCAGCCACCACTATGCTTGAAAATATGAAGAGTGGTACTCAGTAATGTGTTGTATTGGATTTTCCCCAAACATAACACTGTCTCCAGGACAAAAAGTTAATTGCTTTGCCACATTTTTTGCAGTATTACTTTAGTGCCTTGATGCAAACAGGATGGATGTTTTGGAATATTTGTATTCTGTACAGGCTTCCTTCTTTGCACTCTGTCAATTATGTTAGTATTGTGGAGTAACTACAATGTTGTTGATCCATCCTCAGTTTTCTCCTATCAGCCATTACACTCTGTAGCTGTTTTAAAGTTATCTTGCAGGTAATTGTATGTGTGGGATAAAGAGATGAGGTAGTCATTAAAAAATCATGTTAAACACTATTATCGCACATAGAGTGAGTCCATGCAACTTATTATGTGACTTGTTAAGCACATTTTTACTCCTGAACTTATTTAGGCTGGTCATAACAAAGGGGTTGAACACTTATTGAATCAAGACATTTCACCTTTTCATTTTTAATGTCAAAAAACATTGTTACACTTTGACATTATGGGGTATTGTGTGTAGGCCGGTGACAAAACATCTCAATTTAATCCATTTTAAAATCAGGCTGTAACACAACAAAACGTGGAAAAAGTCAAGGGGTGTGAATACTTTCTGAAGGCACTGTGTCTGCATTGCATCCTCTTTCTATATCTTTTCACATGCTTCCCTCTCTTTCTCTTTATGTTCTCTCCCCTAACTCCCTGTGTGTCACTCTCGTGCCGTCACTGTCCCTGTGTGACTGCTCTACAGCACAGTCACATTGTGGTGGCTGACATGAGGATGTGATGGTGGCTTTGTGACTGGCTGCACTATGAAGAGCAACTAGAGACCACTTGAATGGCTGCCTGACAGCTGGTGAAGAGATTCACTACAGCCCCGGGGGCCCATGCACCCTGTGACTGTACACACACACACACACACAGACAGACAAACAAACATGTACACCGTTTAATCATGGGAACACACACATTTACTGTTTATAATGCATACATACAAACATTTAAACACATGCATACACACTTTACACACACACAAGGCATTGTGACTGTAAAGAGAATAAAGCCTCACAAAGTGTTACCTAATTATAAATTATATGATGAAAATACTGCAGGCATTAACACTGCTGTGTCTCTCTCCTTCCTACTGTGAGGCGTGTACACACACAAACACACACACAAACACACAGTCACACACGTTGCTGAGGTCACATGCTGTCACTATAGGCACTGAGTGGAGCTCCTTTCCTAGGCTTCCTTCCAATTCATATTTTTCAGGATGCAAAAACAAAAAACAAGCAGTGCGGCATAAAAAAAAGGAAAACTGAGAAGAAAAAAAAACGTGACAACTTTTAGGTCTGGGTAGGTTGGCCAGAAATAATTGGCTGTCAAGGATAGGGAAGGTAGTAGTGTGCTTTTTCATAGCTGGACCAAAGAACAATGCAAGGACAGAGCAGGGGACAGTAAGAGGACAGGGAAGAGATAGAGTGGCCTGCCTCCTTTGTTTCCATTAAAGCCCAACCAGCAGGGTTGGAACAATGTCTAGGTCACCACAAGCACTGGTGGCTTAGAGGACAGGACAGGAGAGGACAGGGAAGCCATTCTAGTTCCTCTCTTCCTTATAGGAGATGAAGCAACCTATAAACCCAGAGAGATCATTCTCCCTGTATGCAAACAGGCTTTGGGGAGTAATGCAGTGGGTGTGCCTCTGCATAATGGCTGCTAATGGCGCTGACGGCCACGCTCATTACAGCTCCCACGGAGCCCTGCAAGCTGTTTCTGGTCACGTCCTCCCTATGACAAACAATCCCTGCACTGTTATTGACATAATTAATTTTAGAGAGCCAAGGCTGCAGCTTTTTATTTCGCCATCATCTGTAGAGGACAATGAAGCGTGAGAGGCAGGAGTCTGCCAGCCACAGTGTGTGAAAAGATACACAGTGTGTGAAAAGATCCTTTGGCAGCTCATTTGAAAGTGCCATCTGAGACAGTGGATATAGGTGTGAAGAATGGCAGTCAGTAAACCTGCTAAATGCCTCGGCATGCAACATGGGGATGAGCTCACACACACACACACGTGTGCACACACACAAAACACAAACACACAATGGTAACTATACTCACACAAAAACATCCTCACACAAGCTAATAAAAAACAGACGAATACACACAGAAAAACGGTATAATCACAAAATATAAGCCTTTTGAAAAATTTTGCTGCTCTTGGTAGAATTATTACTTGGCTCTACTTCAAGATAATTCATGCCTGTCAGATATATATTCCATCTCCGTTGGAAGCTGTCACAACACCTTTCATGTCACTAAAGTCTACATATCTATATGAGTAACCCCCCCTCCCTCCCTCCTTCCTTCCCTCCTATTCCCCAACCCCACCGCTCACCTTCCTGCAGGTACATGACAGCCTGTGAGTAGTTCTGCAGTGCGTGGTGTGTCCTCCCCAGGCTGCCGTAGGCCAGGGTCTTGGCCGCCAGGTCGTTGGTCTGAGCTGCAACACTCAGATGCTGCTCCTGGAACACCACTGCACGCTCATAGTTGCCTAGCGACTCATAGGTGAGGCCCAGGTTGCCATAGGCACGGCCCTGTCGGGCGGGACTGCCCGTCTCCTCTGCGATCTCCAGGTCACTCTGGTGGCAGCGCAGGGCCGTCTCATACTCTCCCATGGACTGGTAGACCACACCCAGGCCGCAGCTGGCGTCGCCCTCTAGTGATCGGTCCTGGGTGTCGCGGGCAATGCCTAGCTGGCGCTCCAGACAGGAGATGGCCTGTTCATAGTTCCCCAGCTGGCTGTGGAGCGCCCCCAGCTCTCCGTAAGCCTGGGCCTTCCCTCCACACTCCCCCAGCTCATGGGCCACCACCAGACGCTTCTCAAAACACACCAGGGACTGCTGCAGGTTACCCATCGCCCTGCAGGGGGAGACACAGAGAGTCAGGGCCGGACGAGGGGGAGTCAAACAGTAGGGGAAGGACTGAGATATGCAGGGTCAACTGGGCAGGCAGGAACAGAGATATGCACGGTGAACTGGGCAGGCATGGACAGAGATGGGTAGAATATATTATATGCCTACTAGAACGTCATGTAATTGCCATCTGCTCCTCAATATGAACAAACAGACTCGTGCCACAGAGACTGTGTCCTCCAAGTGCACTCCTCTCACAGTAACCCTGTTCATCTCTCTGCTTATCTCCTATCAGGGGGATAGTAGAACAGCTATTATCTAATCTCCACATATGGCCACATTGTGCTATTAGGGAAGAATGAGAAACACACATCACATTTGCCATTTGCTAAGCTCTGCATCGTTTCAGTGGGAATTAATTTTCAGATTCCCAACAAAAAGCACGGCAGACTCTCTGAGGACTGTGTGTGTGTGTGTGTGTGTGTGTGTGTGTGTGTGTGTGTGTGTGTGTAGGGGGGAAGAGATGGGCTGCAGGGGAATGAGGCAGGGCTGATGGGGTAATGATGCAATGGGTTGGGGGGTGCTAGATAAAATAATTCACCCTCCACTTGGCTAGATTGGAGGGATGTCACATGGATGATACAGGTTCTGTCTCTCTCTGTGAATAGGCCTACACATTGACTAAGACCTGCATTCATACCCAGGTTTTGTTCTCTAGAACACTCTGCACACACTGCAGAAACCCTGCAAATAGACAATTTTCAGGCGGAGCAACAACTGCCGGATGTCATTTGAAAAGGACCATTAAAGAATAAAAGGCTTGAACTTCATTCATGTTCTGTTTTAATGTGAGCTGGTTGAGTAAAGGCTCTGGAACAGAGAGCGAGAGAGCGAGAGCGAGAGCGAGAGAGAGACAGAGAGACAGAAAGAGAAAGAGAGAAAAAGAGAGAGAGAAAGAGAGTGAGAGGAAGTGAGGAGGGTAGGAGTCTGATGTATATTCTTCACCTCTTAGCTCATGCATGACTAATGCAGGGTTCTGTCTGATTGTTATGGTGGCATGTTAATGATGCACACTAAGGGGAAAAATCATCTCTGAAATGAAGATTCCATTGCTGCCGCCACGTTTTGTTTCGCACCGTATTCTCACAGGATGTTATCAGCTCTCAGACGCACACAGGGGAGAGAGAGAGCGAAGAAAAGAGACAGAATATAAAAAGTTGTCTCGAATTAACTGCAGGCTCTTTGCATACAGATCAGCTGGGGGCCAGTAGGCTCAGTTCTGAAGCAGCTAGCACCGACCGTCAAGGTGTCTTTAAACTACGGTGGTCCTGGAAGTGCAAGCGCCAACACAAGCAGGAAAACAGCAGCAGGCACAAAAATAAAAAAGATTATGCAAAGTAGGATTACTATGATTATTAGTAATACCCCGTCAAAGCAAAAAATCTGTCACCGCAACAACCAGAGGAAATTGATATCGGCAACTTATTCAAAGGCAGAATGGCTTTCTGCTCGCAACGGTGGCTTAGGAGTGTATTTGAAATATGACGCCTTGCTTTTAAATGTTATTCAACAGAGAAAAATACAAATTAAAGTTGTATATATACTTCCATCAGCAGTACTCTTCATCTTTGATTAAGATATTAGCTGTTCATACAGCCAGTAAGAGATTTCATGGCTTTTCATCCAACCACAGATGTTCATTATAGAGCTAAAGCAGTGTTTCTGTGCTGCAGAGACACCATGTCTACCCAAGCCAATCCTTTAGTGACACTTTAGTCCAATCACTACTTCAAGAAGAGGTAATTTGGACAGATAGCACAGCTTACCTAGAACAGTATCTAAGTAACTCATTCAGTTAGAAAACAGGGCAGGGGTACTCAACTACTATTTGAGAAGGTTCGGTCACACAAATGTCCTAGGTGGCAAAGTTCCGGATGGATATTGTCTTTATCGGCGTAGTAACAAACCCCCACTGATGCGACCCCAAACTGTTCACACCCCTCTTTTTGGCAGAAAGAAAATGTTGCTGTTTTTAAGCTTTTTCTTGCAATACTACACATTTTGCCATGTTTTATGTGTGTTCATATGATACCTGAGTGACTCAACAAAATCAATGGGGGCTCCCTGAGAGTCGAGGCCCCCATGGGCACATCATCTAAATAAGCATAATTTACCTACTTAGTGACCTGATAGGGAGCTATAACCAGTCACGTTACAGATTTCTAAGAATGGCTAGTCGGGGCTACTGAGAGATGTCACTGACCTGTGTCCATTCCCCAGGCCTCGGTAGGCCTTCTCCTGGTCCTGCATGCGGTTCAGGCTCTGGGCCACAGAAAGGTACTGGTCATAGTATTTAATGGCCTCTTCAAAGTCCCCTAGGGCCTCGTAACAGTCTCCCAGGTTACCATAGGCCCTACCCCGGTCCAGCACGGCCTCGTTGCCACTCAGCTGCTGGAGGGTGGCCAGCTGCTGCTCCAGGTAGCCTATAGCCTCCTCCATCACCCCTACGTTCATCTTGGTGATGCCCATGTTGCCGTAGACCTGGGCCTCTACCCCCGGGTCCTTCAGTCTGTGGCCCAGCTCTAGCTGCTCCTCGTAGCTCTTGAAGGCCATGGCGTACTTCCCCAGAGCCATGTAGACGGCTGCCAGGTGGCCGTGGGCTTTACACTCCCCGGGCACATCGCCCAGCTCCTGGTACACCTCCAGCTCCTGGGTGTGGTAGCCCAGCGCCTTGTCGTACTTCTGCACTAGTCTGTAGGTGGCACCCAGGGCAGCATAGGCACACGCCTCCATCCTGCGCTCCTTCACCTGAAACAAAGCACAGATAGGATTTCAGTGCATCAGCAAATCTACAACAGCAACAGCATTACATAAACAGCCCTGCCTTGCTAAATCAGTGGAGTGCTGGACTTACAGTATATAATGTTAATCTCTCTTACTGTATGCAGACAAAGTGGAGACCTTTCCTGTGACTATGACAAATTAAAAACAGGAGCCTGAGAATCTCACCTGGTGAGCCAGGGCGAGCTGCTGCTCATAGAACTGGATAGCTCCGGTCACATCCTTCCTGCAGACAAAGATGTCCCCCAGGTTTCCCAGGGCTCTGAAGCGGGCCTGTGCATTATTAAGAGACTGGGCTAGAGAGAGCAGGTACTTCTGACACTCCTCTGCCTTGGTGAAGTCACCCAGAGCCTTGAAGGCCAGTCCCAGGTTACAGTAGGCCTTGGCCTGGCTCAGCTTGTCATGCAGGTCCTTAGCCAGAGCCAGGTCCTGCTCATAGTACTTGACAGCGTCCTGGTAGCTTCCCAGGCAGTAGTGGGCGTAGCCCAAGTTGTGGCAGACTTTCCCCTCACTCTCCATGTCCTGGAGGTCAGGGGACAAGCGGAGGTACTGCTCGTAGTAGGGCACGGCTTGGGGAAACTCTCCCCGGGAGCAGTGGAAGTTCCCCAGGTTGCCGAGGGCGCGAGCCTCGCTCTGGACGTCTCGCAGCTCACGGGCGATATTAAGGTGGTTCTGGTAGTGCTGCAGGGCGCGGTCGTGGGCCCCCAGAGCCTGGTAGGCCACGGCCAGGTTACCATGGGTGGAGGCTTGGGAGGCCCGGTCATTGACCTCCATGGAGATCTGTAACTCCTGGCGGTGGTAGCGTACGGCCTGGTCAAAGGCCCCCAGCGCGTTGTAGGCGTTACCCATGTTACCGTAGGCCCGGCCTTGGGCAGCATAGTCACTGAGCTCCTGGGTGATGGAGAGGTGGGTTTTGTGGAGTTTCAGTGCAGTCTCATAGTCTCCTTTCATCTGGTGGATAATGCCTGTGGACATGGGAGGGGAGAAGAGAGGGAGGTGGCAAGATTATCATCCCACTCACAAGAAATCAGTTCACTTCGAGTGCCTCATCAGACAGCCACACTATGTAGAAAGCAAGTAATTTGATAGTTCAAATATACTTTCTGCTGAGCCATCTGTTACCAGCTCACACAGCAAACGTTCCACATGAAATATGGTCATTAAAATGGAGCACATTCACACAGCATCATAATTACATGAAAATGGAATCATTAGATTTTCTAAACTGTCCTTGATGATTGTGTCTTGGAAGAATATAAGCAAAACCAACAACTTTTCCACAGGGACTGAAACAACTGAGAGGGAGAAAGAGAGAGAGAGAAAGAGAGCGGGCAGAGCCGATCGAAAGCTTAGCAAGCAACTTCAAAAAAATGAGAGTGTGGAGAACCAATCCATAACATAGGACCCTTTGTATTGAGCGTATTATCTTTTAGAAAATATAATCCTCCTGAAAACAAAAGCTTTGCCTGCAGCCAGCATGTATGTCCACACACAGCAGAGTGTCTATCTATCTATATACCCTCCTTTCCTCTGAGAGACACACGGCTCTGTTGTCACCTGGCTTTCCATAAAATCATAATTATACTCCTAATATCACAGCGCTGTGGCTCCCTGGAGCGGGGGAACAGAGGAGGAGAGTAGGGGATGGCCGCAGGCTGGTGGATGGAGCCGGAGCCGGGGAGGACAGCCCGCCGCAGGGCTAATGATCATTCACCACAGAGAGAGAGGAACACATGGCGGGGCGGGGCGTGGCGTGGTGGGGCGGCGGAGCAGCCATTCATCTAACAGGCCTGGCTAACTGTGTCTCCCCTGTGTCAGCATCAGTGTGGGCTAATGGGCCTGCGAGATGAGAGGAACCAGCCCCAACCAGCCGCACCACTCAGAGGGCACTGGGATGGGGACGGGGCCAGTCTGGGCTGGGTTTTGTGGGAAACAGGGACGGAGGGCAGGAGAGGGGGACATTTATGGGTTGTGGTGGGAACTTGATGGTGCCATTGGGATTAGCTACCACCATGTGTGTCACTGACTTTTCCCTACCAGAACTTGCCACAGTACTGGTGCAAGCAGTGGCTAAGTAAACAGAAGGATCCAAACTAAACAGCCAACTTAACAGACCCAAAATGACATGACTTCTGCCGCTGTAGATGTGGAGGCATGGCCATTAGAGTTGTGTGTTCAGTTAAAAGCCTTGTATTAGGCCTTTGGGATGCCTGACTAGCAGCCGTGCCGTTCTGTTGGTCTACCGTTGGCCCACCGGCTTACATATGGTCCTTATACAGTATCAGGCTTCTCTGAGGCATCCCTTTTTTTGGGCTGCCAGATTTGGAGGAATAGAAGAGGAGTGGTTTAAACTAAGCTGTGATAAAAAGTTCACTTCCGATGTCAGGTGAAAGAAGAGGTAAATATTTTATCTTGTTTGTAAATGCAGGTATCAAGGAAAGGGGATTACCCACACAAGGTACATTGGATGGCAGCATAAAAATAACCTATTCAAAGGTTTTCTTTGATTTGCATAGCCCATAGATAGTGCCATAAATAACCCCAATCCATAGATGGGCTCACTTTTATGATGATTCGCACACAGTTCTCTCACAGTTTTACAGTGGAAAGGAAACCCCTCAGATGAGGTGTATCAGTAGTGCACTACTTGTTTATCTATGTGGTTCTGTCTCCAGGTTAAAGTGTCATAGCCTTACCTGGCCCAGTAATAATAATTAATATGCTAAGAATTCTCCAGAAAAAACTAACAAGAGACAAGGCAATGCCTGGTACAGATTTCCAGAGGGAATACAATATGTTTTATTAACATACAGTATATAGAATTGATAAACTGCTCCTAATTCTATTATTATGACAAATGGTATAGGCATAATAGGCTTTGGACATTTGAGGTCAGACAGTTACAGTAGACTGACATTGGCACCTCACAGCCCAGCCCAGCCCAGCCCAGCCCGGGCCCAGAGCATGTTAACATTCACGGCAGGCTGGAGGAGGAGCACTGACAGCCTTTTCCCTCCTCAAAGTCATTGCCAAGATTATGCCCTCCCTGTGGAGCTTATCCCACAGAGGGTATAATGCCTATTAATGTATCACCAGAAAACATGGCCCCAGCCCTCCCCTGAGTCCCCTGCTGGAGGCTAAAATTGGAGCTGGAGCTGGGGCTTGAAGGCTGGGGTGGGGTGGGGTCTGGGGAGAAAGACTGGGGCTGAAGCTGGAGCTGGAGCCGGAAGAGATGAGGATCATGGACTAGGGCTGTGCATGTTCTGGGCCTCAGGTGGTAAATGGTGTTGGTACACAAACCATATGGAGATGACGGGATGGTTGGACAGCTGGATAAGAAATGGGCAATGATAGATACACTGATTTCAAATGACCCCATCAAGAAGTAGTTCTTAGAGAGAGGAGAGACTGACTTCTGTTGATCCTTGTTATGCCCATGCAATTCACTCCGACTGCACAATAAGGATTTCTCTCAGACTGCACAATAAGCTTTGTTATGTTACATATACAGTGGGGGAAAAAAGTATTTAGTCAGCCACCAATTATGCATGTTCTCCCACTTAAAAAGATGAGAGAGGCCTGTAATTTTCATCATAGGTACACGTCAACTATGAGAGACAAAATAAAATTTAAAAATCCAGAAAATCACATTGTAGGATTTTTAATGAATTTATTTGCAAATTATGGTGGAAAATAAGTATTTGGTCAATAACAAAAGTTTCTCAATACTTTGTTATATATCCTTTGTTGGCAATGACACAGGTCAAACGTTTTCTGTAAGTCTTCACAAGGTTTTCACACACTGTTGCTGGTATTTTGGCCCATTCCTCCATGCAGATCTCCTCTAGAGCAGTGATGTTTTGGGGCTGTCGCTGGGCAACACAGACTTTCAACTCCCTCCAAAGATTTTCTATGGGGTTGAGATCTGGAGACTGGCCACTCCAGGACCTTGAAATGCTTCTTACGAAGCCACTCCTTCGTTGCCCGGGCGGTGTGTTTGGGATCATTGTCATGCTGAAAGACCCAGCCACGTTTCATCTTCAATGCCCTTGCTGATGGAAGGAGGTTTTCACTCAAAATCTCATGATACATGGCCCCATTCATTCTTTTCTTTACACGGATCAGTCGTCCTGGTCCCTTTGCAGAAAAACAGCCCCAAAGCATGATGTTTCCACCCCCATGCTTCACAGTAGGTATGGTGTTCTTTGGATGCAACTCAGCATTCTTTGTCCTCCAAACACGACGAGTTGAGTTTTTACCAAAAAGTTCTATTTTGGTTTCATCTGACCATATGACATTCTCCCAATCCTCTTCTGGATCATCCAAATGCACTCTAGCAAACTTCAGACGGGCCTGGACATGTACTGGCTTAAGCAGGGGGACACGTCTGGCACTGCAGGATTTGAGTCCCTGGCGGCGTAGTGTGTTACTGATGGTAGGCTTTGTTACTTTGGTCCCAGCTCTCTGCAGGTCATTCACTAGGTCCCCCCGTGTGGTTCTGGGATTTTTGCTCACCGTTCTTGTGATCATTTTGACCCCACGGGGTGAGATCTGGATCTGGAGCCCCAGATCGAGGGAGATTATCAGTGGTCTTGTATGTCTTCCATTTCCTAATAATTGCTCCCACAGTTGATTTCTTCAAACCAAGCTGCTTACCTATTGCAGATTCAGTCTTCCCAGCCTGGTGCAGGTCTACAATTTTGTTTCTGGTGTCCTTTGACAGCTCTTTGGTCTTGGCCATAGTGGAGTTTGGAGTGTGACTGTTTGAGGTTGTGGACAGGTGTCTTTTATACTGATAACAAGTTCAAACAGGTGCCATTAATACAGGTAACGAGTGGAGGACAGAGGAGCCTCTTAAAGAAGAAGTTACAGGTCTGTGAGAGCCAGAAATCTTGCTTGTTTGTATGTGACCAAATACTTATTTTCCACCATAATTTGCAAATAAATTCATTAAAAATCCTACAATGTGATTTTCTGGATTTCTTTTTCTAATTTTGTCTGTCATAGTTGACGTGTACCTATGATGAAAATTACAGGCCTCTCTCATCTTTTTAAGTGGGAGAACTTGCACAATTGGTGGCTGACTAAATACTTTTTTTCCCCACTGTATAGGCTATAGCCCAGAGGTTATTTGAGTCTGCAGCTCCATAATTCCCATCTGCACAGTGAGCACTTGAGACAATGACTGTGAAAAAGAGGGATCAAACAACAAGGAAAATATCCCTCCACACATACACAAAATAACCCTCCACACATACACAAAATATCTCTCCACATATACACAAAATATCTCTCCACACATACACAAAATATCTCTCCACACATACACAAAATATCTCTCCACACACACAAACACAGACAGACCTACAGTATCCCATTCACCACCACTCCATATGTAAATACATAAAAAGGCGGGCAATGCGATGTCTCTTTGCATTACACAGGCGCGCAGTGTGAGTTGGAGATGCTGCAGTGATGACTCTGAGGCTTGGTGTTGTGTTCTGAGTAAATCACTGTGTCATTCTGTGCTGTGTGTGGAGGGAGGTTGTGGAGGTCTGCTGCACTGTGGAGTAGTCCGCCAGCTGCTGCCTCTCTCTCTGCTGCGCTGCTCTGCCCAGCTAAGAGGATTTCCACATCAATAGAGTCTCTGCCACTGTGCCGGGTTGATACCAGGGATAGAAGGAAGATGGCCAATCACCAAGCAGCCCTCTGCCCTGGCCTAGAATCCACATTCTAGCTCACCCTCCATTTATGTCAGTTAGCCCAACGGTTTGTTAACACAACGGCTTGAAGAATGAATACAAAACAACATTTTCAATTGCTATGTACAAATCAATCGTCTAGAAAATTGCAGGACTAGCGGATGCATACTTGCTTTCTAGACCAGTGTTTCCCAACCCTGGTCCTCCAGTACCCCCAACTGTACACATTGTTGTTGTAGCCCTGGACAAACACACCTCATTCAGCTCATTGAGGGCTTGATGATTAGTTGACAAGTTGAATCTGGTGTACTTGTCCAGGGTTACAATAGAAATGTGGAATGTTGTGGGTACTGGTGACCAGGGTTGGGAAACACTGTTCTAGACATCTAGACATTTGATATGACTGGGTGTGGTGTGTGTGGAGACCTGTGGGAGGCAGTAGAGAGCTGAGCGAGAGCAGGCAGGAAGGGCCCTGATTGTGGGTGGGGTGTAGTGGGGTAGGGGTCTGAGTCTGGGTCTGAGCTTAGGTACCAAATCCTCACTCAGAAAAACACACAATTCTCTCACAGCCTGACAGACACGCTGAGAGAGACAGGAAGGCAGAAGATAAAAAGAAAGGGGGATGGATAGATGGATGTGTGCTGAGTGGGAGGCCTGCCAACACAAGCACACACAGACGGGCCGCTGCACCCTCCACCCCTCTGCCTGCCTGCCTGCCTGCGGGCCCAGCTGGGCTGACTTCCTCTCTGCTCTCTCCAGCTGACCCGTCGGTATCCTGCAGCCCAGGCCCAGCACTGTCACGGCTAACCCTACTAAACCACAGCGAAACTGCTGTTACTTCTGGATCTATGATAGCTCTGGATAGTTACATATCTTATGTTAATGTCAAGTGCATTGAGCAAGACCCTTTGGTTTCATTGCATCTCAGGTTTTCTGTTTTGTAGAGAGATAAAATACCATGTTGAAGTTGGGCTGAGGAAAAGGCAGCTATGCATTTGCTAAATGCAAAGGAAATATTTTGCCGTAAATGCATTCATAAGAAATGCATACGGCACATAGCTATGCGTGGACGGTGGAAATGTGAGAGAATGTGGGAGAATGTTTGAGCGGGCTTCCAGTCCAATATTTGGCATGGTCCTCTGTCATCAGACTGGGCTGAAGGGGGCCATGAAGAGGGGGAACTAACTGCTGCTTTTCCATGAACATGAATGTGGGCCGAGCAGCACAGATCTGTTCCACTAGGAAGTCTCTCCAGGAGAAGAGAACGAGACTGGCATCCAATGTAATCACCTCGAACCACCCTCCCCTCCTTTCGTACACAGTATAGTATCTAGGCTTTCCATTCCTGTCCTTCCTGTCTGTGTGTCCTGAGCCAGGACCATGGCAGGTCATATTTACCTGTTGTTCATTAACAGACTACCTCCAGCACAGCCCGAGATAAATGCACCTTCTATGATTTTGTTTCCCTCGCTCCCTGTCTCCTTCCCCGTAGCATTCTTCATTCACTCTGACTGTTCCAAATTCGTCTGTAAATCCTGCCGCTGCCCTCCTGCCCCTGCCTTCTCCCCTCCTGCCTTACAAAAATACTAGGCTGTTTCCAACAACAACCAACCTGAGAGCTCTCCCTCTCTGACTGCCTCAGTCTGCTCCAGGCCACACGGCTGTGTTCCTGTAGTGAGCCATATAGCCAATCCCCTGCAAAACTCCACAGAAGACTTTCCATGTCGGGGTAGGAAAGGCCTAAAGCCATTTAAACTCAGTCTCTCACTCCCTCCCCCTGAATCTCTCCTGCCCCAGTGACAAGATCCAGAACAGTGTTCATTACGGTTCTGTTAGGCTCTGTGCTGTTGTTTTGTTGTGTTTCCTGTTTGATTTTAATGTGGCTCAGCATTAAGAGGTCCTCTGGGAAACAGGGTGAAAACAAGGAAAGTGATTGCTTAATTAAAACTCTTACCTCCGGCCCTGTTAACTGATGGAGTCGCCATTTCAAATTACTTTTTGAGATGCAAGAAAAAACAATGAGAAGTGGGTTAGAAAAAGAGAGAGAGGAGGAGGGAGAGATAGGAGATAAGGAGGGTAACAACAACTTCCAAACAAACTTATTAAAAACCTCTTTGAAGTGAATTGCAGGGGAAAATAATATAATTTAGATTCTGTTTCATGAATAACGGAAATGTGAGCTAAATGCGAAAGCCACCACTCGAGTCCTCTCCGAGATATAATAAATTGCTGACTAGGGGGTAAGTTTGCCGGTTAATGAATAATTAATGGAGGCTGGAATGCAACATTTTCATATCCTTTATAGGTCAGTGTGCACTGAGCCAAGGCTCCTGTCACCGCTGGGCATCAGTGAGCCAACCAGCCTCAGTAATAAAGCATGTTACCATCGCTGTGCTGAGCGGAGCTGAGCGTTAGCTGGCTACATGTTACCTCTAAGCCATGACAGGGGCCGCTTCACCCTCTCCACATCAACATAGATCATTAGAGAAGAGCTGAGAGAGCTGAATAAAAGTTCTGTGAAGAAACACTTTCTCTCTGTCAACATGTTCTCTCCCCCTCGCTATATGACACTGTCATTTTTTTCCTTTTAATCTTACTAGCTTGATCATGTCCTCGTTGTTGTGTTGAACAGGGGTTCCCAAACGTTTTCATTCAGGGCCCCCCTTCCAGCATTGGGGAACATCCCACACTCCTCTTGCTGGTTGAGAGAATTTTGCAGTTTTAAAGCTTATTTCCTGCAATTCTACACATTTTGTCATGGGGTGCAAAGAACATTTAGCAATTTTAAAGCTAATTTTCTTGCAATTCTATATATTTTGCCATGTCTAATGTGTATTCATGTGATATTTGAGTGACTAAAAAATTACAACAATACATATGTGCTAAAAAACCTAAGTAAAAAAACGTTAGCTGACATGGGCTAGTTAATCTGGACATTTCTGACAAGTTATAAATAGCTCTCTAAGGTATGCAATGACTAACATGACAAGAGGAACTGATGATGCACTACCCAATTTCGCCCCACAGTTTGGGAACCACTGGTGTAGAACATGTTTTATCTCTGCATGGTGGTACTTCAAAGCAAGAGGACTGTACAGTAGGCTACAGTATGTCAAGTTGGCTACAGTATGTGGGGGAATGACTAGGCAACAACAACATTCCCCCCTTCACCATCACCACAAACAACAACAACAACAATGGTGTAATTAGAGATATTATGCTTTTCAAGCCCACTTCATTCTCTGTTATCTTCCTTATTCAGCTCTTGGAGAATCAGCTATTAGGTAATTAAGCGATTCATCTATTCAGTTTCAATTACTGGGAGCCTGACAGCCGCAGATTACAATCACTACGGGTGAGGGGGAGAGAGAGAGAGAGAGAGGCGCAAGGCACCATCAGGCAGAGAAAATGAAAGGAAGGAGAGAGAAAAAAGAGACAAGGAAAGAGGGCAAAGGAGAAACAAGAGGTAGAGACAGGAGGGCACCTTCCACACAATCACCTAACACTCCCCTGGGCCTCCTTCCAAGCCATCACCATGAAGCACTGCAACTTTGACCCATTCGTCACAGGAGGAAAATGATCCTGCAGCAAGAGTATTTGAATGAATATTTAATATTTATCATCACTGCCAGGGGGCAGCTGGAAGCGGTGTTTGTAGGCTATACAATGCAGTACCACACCTACCGTACAGATTTAGTTCCAACAGCCCCAGACCCAGCTCATTGGAATGCCCCTACCCCATGGCCCAACTGGCAATTTGTAAAATGTATACCAGTCCAATGGTGGTCCTTACAGCACGCCAAAAAAAGGGGCAATTTCGGGGGGCATGTTTCTTAAATATAGGATGGTATCCGTGACTCGACTATGCATACTGTATTCCTATTATGTGGACTGGAATTACGCACCTCTTTCAAACCATGAAGCTGGGAGAGATTATGGTTAATTGATGATGGTTCATTGATTTGTGCAGGACAGTGATTTAATAGGCTAATCGATGTACTAGGCCTAATGAAATAGATGAATGGGGCGGTCAACTCAGCCAGATATTCACAGTGAAATATTTTTGATCTTCCCTCTTTCTGAATTTTTTACACATATGTATTTCCATCTCTGTCATATGAAACTGCTGGCATAGTCCAGCATTGGACAATTTTTTTGGTCCACTACTTTTATTTTGGAACATTTGCGCGTATTACCATGTGCGCATTGCTGCGCTAATACTATGAATAATTAATGGTTTATTAACATTTTTAACTAAACGTTCTGATCTGTTCCATCAGTCTTGTTGTGTTTATAGGCTATGCAGCCTATGCAGGCTATTTTTAGACTGCAGGTCCACTGGGCATTAGTTCAAGTAGCCTATGTAGGCTACGTGCAGGCTACAGCGCGCCTCGTGTGCATTTTTATGTGGATTATAATAAATTTACATAGTTGTAGGGGGTAGATGTATTTTTCGTTGGGGTACACTTTATTTGGATAGTCCATCTGTGCCGTCGTCGTCGGGTGAGGTTGTGTCTCTCTCTGGCGGGAGGTAAGATTGGCTTATATGGCTAATATGGTGTCGAGTAAAGCTTAAACTATGTAGTTAGATTGTAGTTAGGTATTGTAGGTAGTTATCGTGGGTTATTGTATGTAATTATTGTAGGTAAGTATTGTATTCGGCTGAGCCCGGTGAAGCACGAGGCTAGCTAACCCACTACCTGGACTAGCTAGCGGGTAGCTACTGGTAACTATTAGCAACTGTGGATAGTTGTTTCACACTTGAGCCAGCTAGCTGCCTACAATAATTACATACAATAATGCCTACCATTCAGCTGTTTTTCTAACCTCATTGTCTGAAGCGTTAACGTTAGGTAGTAAGTAGCTACTGTGCTCGAAATGTAGCCAGCTTGTTGCTACCTGGATAGCTAACTAAACAATAGCTGGAACGACCTAGCGAACAGACGCGAACTGGCTGAGTCGATTCAGTGGCTAGCTTTGCACTTGGCTAGCTAACAGTAGCTGCTAGGGGTAAGTTATAACCTACATTTGTGTTTTGTTTTTACATACTGGTAGCCAGAGTCGTTCAAGGGAATTCGGGACATGGGTGACTAGTTAACGTTAGCTTGGCTCTCTCTGTGTGTTCGTGCCGTGGGAGGAGTTTTTTTTTCGTTGGCAGAAAGCAATGGCTAGCTAGTATGCTAACTATTCTAGCTAACTAACTGGCTGAATAAGTTGACGACGGACTCGCTCAAGCTGTCGGGACTAACCCACAACGTTAGACATGGACACGTATGATCTGCTTGGCGTGTTGACACACTGGTGGTTTGTTGTGGCCGAGTATTGGTGCTAAATCGTGTTGTTGGAGGCTGGCATGCTAGTTGGCTGTGGCGTCGTAGGACTAGGTGCCCTGGACGGTTTTCACGGAAGAATACTGTACCAAGTTAGCTAGCTGAATAAACTAAGTTAGTCTATTCCTAGAAAACATTGAACCGCTGTAGTTTACAACAATTATAGTTTCTGAGGTGGAAGTTGGGAGAGTTATGTTTGGGTGTTTCAGTGAAACGTAAGTGAGGGAGGCCCGCTCTCTCGCTTTCCCAGATGTTTAGTTCATTTCATTCCGATCTCCTTTGCATTATTGTAGCCATTTTCTGTAGCCTGTCAACTATGCCTCTGTCTATCCCTGTTCTCTCCTCTCCGCACAGGCTATACAAACACCTCACACCGCGTGGCTGCTGCCTCTCTAACCTGGTGGTCCCTGCACGACCCACGTGGAGTTCCAGGTCTCTGGCAGCCTCTGGAACTGCCGTTCTGCGGCCAACAAGGCAGAGTTCATCTCAGCCTATGCTACCCTCCAGTCCCTCGACTTCTTGGCGCTGACGGAAACATGGATTACCACTGAAAACACTGCTACTCCTACTGCTCTCTCCTCGTCTGACCATGTGTTCTCGCATACCCGAGAGCATCTGGTCAGCGGGGTGGTGGCACAGGAATCCTCATCTCTCCCAAGTGGACATTCTCTCTTTTTCCCCTGACCCATCTGTCTATCTCCTCATTTGAATTCCATGCTGTCACAGTCACTAGCCCATTCAAGCTTAACATCCTTGTCATTTATCGCCCTCCAGGTTCCCTTGGAGAGTTCATCAATGAGCTTGACGCCTTGATAAGTTCCTTTCCTGAGGATGGCTCACCCCTCACAGTTCTGGGTGACTTTAACCTCCCTACGTCTACCTTTGACTCATTTCTCTCTGCCTCCTTCTTTCCACTCCTCTCCTCTTTTGACCTCACCCTCTCACCGTCCCCCCCTACTCACAAGGCAGGCAATACGCTTGACCTCATCTTTACTAGATGCTGTCTTTTCTCTCCAAAACTCTTGAGCGTGCCGTCTTTAGCCAACTCTCTTGCTATCTCTCTCAGAATGACCTTCTTGATCCAAACCAGTCAGGTTTCAAGACTGGTCATTCAACTGAGACTGCTCTTCTCTGTGTCAAGGAGGCTCTCCGCACTGCTAAAGCTAACTCTCTCTCCTCTGCTCTTGTCCTTCTAGACCCGTCTGCTGCCTTTGATACTGTGAACCATCAGATCCTCCTCTCCACCCTCTTCCAGTTGGGCATCTCCGGCGCGGCTCACTCTTGGATTGCGTCCTACCTGACCGGTCGCTCCTACCAAGTGGCGTGGCGAGAATCTGTCTCCGCACCACGTGCTCTCACCACTGGTGTCCCCCAGGGCTCAGTTCTAGGCCCTCTCCTATTCTCGCTATACACCAAGTCACTTGGCTCTGTCATATCCTCACATGGCCTCTCCTATCATTGCTACGCAGACGACACACAACTAATCTTCTCCTTTCCCCGTTCTGATAACCAGGTGGCGAATCGCATCTCTGCATGTCTGGCAGACATATCAGTGTGGATGACGGATCACCACCTCAAGCTCAACCTCAGCAAGACGGAGCTGCTCTTCCTCCCGGGGAAGGACTGCCCGTTCCATGATCTCGCCATCACGGTTG